CAATGTATCCTTATCAGTCTTAGGTTCAGTCTTTTTACATAATTCCATATTTCTTGAAGGTTTTGTTCATTCTTTTTTGTTTTTTTCTCTATTCTTCTCTTCTTGTGTTTTATATCAGACAGATAGTTTTCAAGCTCTGAGATTCTTTCCTCCACTTGGCCTATCCTGCTCATGATACTTGTGGTAGCATTGTGAAGTTCTCATGTTGTGTTTTTCACCTCCATCAGGTCAGTTATGTTCCTCTCTAAACTGAATATTCTGGTTATCAGCTCCTGTATTTTTTATGATTCTTAGCTTCCTTGCTTTAAGTTAGAATGTGCTCCTTTAGCTCAGTGAGGTTTGTTATTACCCACCTTCTAAAGCCTACTTTTGTCAGTTCAGCCATCTCAGCCTCCGGCCAGTTCTGTGCCCTTGCTAGGGAGGTGTTGTTGTCATTTAGAGGAGAAGAGGCATTCTGCCTTTTTGAGTTTTCAGCATTTTTGTATTGATGCTTTCTCATCTTTGTGGCCTTATCTACCTTTGATCTTTGACATTGCTGATCTTTGAACGGGGTTTTTGTGGGGTCTTTTTTGTTGATATTGTTGTTGTTGCTTTCTGTTTGTTTTTAACAGTCAGACCACTCTTCCCTAGGGCTGTTGTGGTTTTCTGTGGGTCCACTCTAGACCCTAGTCGCCTCAGTCTCTTCTGCACCTGGAGGTATCACCAGTGAAGGCTGCAAAACAGCAAAGATGGTAGCCTGATCCTTCCCCTGGGAGCACGAGTCCAAGGGGATACCAACTTGATGCCACCTGGAATGCTTCTGTAGGAGGTGTCTGGAGACCCCTGTTGGGAGGTCTCGCCCAGTCAGGAGGAACAGGATCAGGGACTGCTTAAAGAAGCAGTCTGGCTGCCCCTTGGCAGAACAGGTGTGCTGTGTTGACGCCCAGGAGTCTCTAGAGCCAGCAACTGGAAAGGCTAGGTCGGCTGAACTGGGGAGATAGCAGCTATCCCTCTCCCTGGGGACTTCATCCCAGGGAGAAATCAGAGTTCTGTCCATAGAACTCTGGCTGGATTTGCTAAAATTCTGATGGGGAGGTCCTGTCCACTGGAAAGGCTAGGGTCGGCTGAACTGGGGAGATAGTACACCTCTCCCTGGGGACTTATCCTAGGGAAATCAGAGTTCTGTCCATAGAACTCTGGCTGGATTTGCTAAAATTCTGATGGGGAGGTCCTGTCCAGTGAGGAGGGATGGATTGCGGTCTCACTTAAAGATGCAGACTGGCCACAATCAGGCACAGCAGCTGTGCTATGTTATGGGGAACTCCTCCTGGTCCCTGGTGCCAGCAGGTTAGAGTGGCCAACTCAAACCACAGATATAGCGGCTGCCCCTCCCTCCGGGAACTTGGTCCATCTCTGGATGTTTCTAGCCTGCCGCTGCTGGCCAGCTGGAATTCCAAGCCAATAGGCCTTAACTTGTGACGTGCTGTGGGAGTGGGGCCCACAGAATGATGCCACGTGGCTCCCTGGATTCAGCCCCCTTCCTGGGGGAATGCATGGATATATCTTAAATAATCAACTTAAATAATCAATTGGTGATAGAAGAAATCCAAGAGAAATCAGAACATATTTTGAGATGAATGAAAACAAAAATTCCACATCTCAAAACTTATGGAATGCAGCTAATGCCGTGCTTAAAGGGAAATTTATAGGTGTGAATTCTTATATTAGAATGAAAGAAAGATCTCAATCAATAATTTAACTTTCACCTAAATAAACTAGAAAAAGAAGAGCAAACTGAAACCAAAGCAAGTAAAGCAAGGATATAATAAATGTAGAGTGAAAATAAATAAAATAGCAAGCAGGAAAACAATAGAGAAAATAAACAAAACCAAAAGTTATTTGAAAAGATCAACAAAATTGATAGTTTAGCTATCCTGATCAAGAAAAAAAAAGAACTCAAAAATGTGGTAAATAACTTAGGTTAGGTAAACAACAACAATGACAAAAAACCTAAACCTTTAAATAATCTAGTAAAGATTATGAAAAACCAACAGCTAACATTAAAGTTAGTGGTGAAAGTCTTAAATCTTTTCTCCTAAAATGAGGAACAAGACAAGGATACCTGCTTGCTTTTTCTATTCAACATTGTACTGGAGATTCTAGCCAGGATAATTAGACAAAAACAAAACAAAACCAACCACAGAAAAGAAACCAAACACATCTAGATTGGAATGGAAAACATCAAACTCTATTTTTTGCAGATAAATAATGTTGTGTATTGGAAAATCTAAGGAACCTACAACAACAACAACAAACCTGCTGGAGCAACAATTGAGTTCACAAAAGATAAAAGATCAATGTGCAAAAAATCAGTTATATTGAGAAACACTAGCAATGAGTAGGCTCAAAATGAAATTAAGAAAGTAGTTCTATTTACAATAGCGTTAAAAATAAGACTAAAAAGAAATGTAAGACTACACAACATTATTGAAAGTGATTAAGACCTAAATATATGGATACACATTCTGTATTTATTGAATGGAAGACATTACTATTAAGATGACAGTACCCCACAAATTGATCTACATATTCAAGTCAGTTCCTATCAAGATCCTAGCTTCTCTTTTTGCAGAAATTGACTTGCTGATCTAAGATTCATTTGAAAATACAAGGGACTCTGAGTAACCAAAACAATCTTGAAGAAGAACAATGAAGTTGCAGAGTCCACACTTTATTATTTCAAACCTTACTATAAAGCTATAGTGGTTAAAATTGTGTAGTACTAGAATCAGGATAGATATGTAGATCAATGGAATTGAATTGAGAGTCCAGAAGTAAATCCATACATTTAAAGTCAATTGATTCTCCACAAGGGTACCAAGACCATTCAGTGGAAAAGTACAGTCTCTTCAGCAAGTGGTGCTGTAACAACTGGATATCCACATACAAATGAATGAAGTTAGATCTCTTTCTCACATCATATAGAAAAATTAACCTCAAGTGGAAGAAATATCTAAATGAGAGATCCCAAACTATGCTCTTAGACAAAAACATAGGTGTACATCTTTATGATATTGAATTAGTAATGATTTCTTTTTTTTTCCCTCTCCTTTTATGTGGAACAGGAAAGCTAGAGGGGTTTAGAGTTGTTTTACTGCTTTTCCCCTATGTCAGACAAGGCTCTGATGAAGCAGTTTTTCTTTAGAGCAGGTCTTTCACACAGAGAATGGAATGCTCTGGGCATATTTCAAAATGGTTGTTATACCCACTTACTCTCTTTATCCCCCAATTAGGGTATATTTTGAAATGGTTGCTTTTCCCTTTTCCTTGTGTAAAGGGCCCGAGGAAATTTTCTTCAGCCTTCATCATGAGAACCTGGTGGGGTTTCTGGAAGTAAAATTCATGAAAGTATAAGGGGCCCCCAAGGCGGGACACCAACAAGTTTTTAACTCTCCAGCTAGTCCACACTCAGCCACCAGTAATTTAATGATTACCATTTTAAGTGTTCCTACCAATTACTGGCTCTGTGGCATCTGCTCTCAGGTAAACTGTGATTTTCTATATTCACCCATCTCTCTAGTTTCTGAGGAAGTGGTTTGCCCTGTGACCTCTAGTCTCAGGTAGATCTAAGAAAAGTTGTTGATTTTCAGTTTGATTATCTTTTTTTCTGTTGTGATGATAGGAGTGATGACTTCCAAGTTCTCTACATGTTGGAATGGGAACTGAAAGACCTAATTAACTTCTTAAGAAACTGCCAAACTGTTTTCCAAAGTGGATCTAGCACTTTATATTCCCGGCATTGTATGAGAGTTTCAGTTTCTCTCTCTCTTTGTCAACACGCCATCTTTCTAATTTTAGATATTCTAATAGGTATCTAGTGGTTTCTTGTTGTAGTTTTAATCTGCATTTCTCTAATAGCTAGTGATGATGACCATTGGTTTCTTGTTGTAGTTTAATCTGCATTTCTAATAGCTAGTGATGATGACTATTTTTTCATTTGCTTATTTGCCATGCAAATCTTTATTAGTGAGTATCTGTTCACATATTTTGCCTGTTTGTGCCAGTTGTTTTCTACAATTGAAGTTTATTTTTTCTTATACTGCAACTTTAATTTGATATACAAATTGTACATATTTATGAGGTACAATGATGTTTCAGTACATTTTTCACGACAATGAGACTTCAAATCAGGGTAATTAGCATAATATCCATTATTTTTAAACATTTACTATTTCCTTTGATGTAAGAGCATTCAAAATCCTCTCTCCTATTAAAATGACAGTGTGTGTTTTAAATGTACAACTCTTTTTGTTTTCTCACAATCCCAAGAAATGATAGCTTGAGTCACTGAAGATCCCCTCAAGTCCAACTCACCCATTTTAGTAAATTTAATATTGTCTGAGAAAATGACTAGACATAAATGTATTCAGAGAGAATTATCTGAGTCTATTATTCTCTTCTAACCTGCAAAGGAAGCTGAACACTTGATGTAAACTTCTTTTCACTATAAATGTAAGAAGAATCCTCCATTACATACAAAGAAAAATACCGAGAGATAGTTCTGCTCTGAGGTTATTATCCTGTGGTCTTTTGGTTTTGGCATGTCTACCCCACCTCCCATGCCCTTCTCCCTTTGTCTTCACGAGCATTCAGCTGTATTGCAGAACAGCATGTTTAAGTTCCTGCAGTCTGGCCAAGCCTGTTCTATGCCCCATTCTTACAAGAATCACAAGAGTGCCAAAAGGTAATTGCCTGTAATCCCAGCACTTTGGGAGCCGAGATGTTGATCACGAGGTCGAGACTGCGACTAACCCTGGCTAACACGGTGAAACCCTGTCTCTACTAAAAATACAAAAACTAGCCAGGCGAGGTGGCGGGCGCCTGTAGTCCCAGCTACTCGGGAGGCTGAGGCAGGAGAACAAGGTAAACCCGGGAGGCGGAACTTGCAGTGAGCTGAGATCCGGCCACTGCACTCCAGCCTGGCACAGAGCCACTCCGTCTCAAAAAAAAAAAAAAAAAAAATCACAAGAGCACCAGGATTCTGTTTGGGGTTGCCATGGATATAGAGTTCCTATTACAGAACTGACTTATTCTCAGTATGAGGTAAAGACTTAGAGGTGAGGGTCTCTCAGCAAGGGAGTCCCACCCCATCCTCTGCCCTCTCTGTTAGCTCATGTTGTCCTCTCATCCTCATCAGAATTAAAATTGTAAAGTTTTGGTGGGGGAACTAGATGGTGGTCTCTGGGGCCCATAGACAGGAAAGTTTGCTTACACTCAGCTGGGGGGAACACTAATTGACATTCCTTTCCCCTCCCAGGGACCTTACAGAGTCCCCTTATCCTCAGGGTACTGGGGGACAACCAGTGGGTGTAGGGCCAAATAGCAGTAACCTTATTACTTGCCAGGAATTGGGTAAAGATTTGATTTAATGAGCTTGATTTTGGGAACTAAAAAAGGAAAAAAGGAAAAGCCATAATCCTGAAAGGCAACAGAAGAGAAAACTGCTAACAAGATCTTGATTAAATTTCTCCCTCTTACAGAATGTTGTACTGAAGACACAAGACCTGAGACTTGTGTTATTCTAGCAGCTGAACTGACCCCAGCCTCTTCTGAGCAGCCGTGGCGCCTGAAGCAGTCTGGCCTACAGGTAAGCAGGTCCAGAGTTTACAGGGAGAAACTCCCAGAAATCCAGCTCTGCCTTGGGTTGCCCTGGTTCACATCCGAAGATCTGCTTGGGCCATATCTCTGGAGCACAAGGCGGTAGACTGAGAGCTTTGATATTTCTACTCCTACTGCAGATGAACTGGTATAACCCTGAAACTATGGAATTTGCTGCTGTCTGTGACCCAGCAAATGGAAATAGAAATAGAAAAATAATTAGATAGAAAAATAATAGAAATAGAAAACATTTAAAAAATAAAACAAGCCTCATTCTATGCCTGTTAATGTCCTCAAAAATATGACATTTTAGGCAGTGTAATAATATGCATACACTGGTCACTTTAATTTTTCCTACAGGGGCGGCTGGTTGCCCTATTGGTGGAAGCTCTGTTCAGGGAATAGAGCTGGTGTTCAGCTCGGGAAGCCTCCACAGAGATGGCCACCAAAAGGGCTTCAGTGGTCCCATCTCAATTAACACCTGAAACTTTGCTAGTGAAACCTCAGCACATTCTTAGAGAATCCTAGTTTTTATCAGCAGCAAAAAAATGTGTGCGATCAGTTTCTTAAATTTATTTAAACATTTGAAAAGTTAGAAAATTGTGGCAAAGAGCATTAATTCTTGAGTCTGGGGAGTGTATTACTTTGATGAGAATGTTTGTGTATTTGAAACTAAAGTATGTATCCATTTATATTGCCACATACTGACTTTTATGGCATAATATATGGTGTAGAGAGCAGGTTGTCTAAAAACCAATATTTGCAAAATGCTGAATATTCAGCATGGTTTTATGAAGCCGACAGAGTGGAGTATATTTTGCATGTGTCTTAACTTGCCGATGAGGAAATAAAGTTGTAGAGAGATTAAATTAGCCAAGCCAGGGGTTTCGGTGCTAGGAAGTCTTGATTTTGTAAAATATAGACATAAAACTTTAAAAAAGTGAATCCAGACAAATAAAAAACAAAATCATTCTAAACATATAATCTACTTTAAGTTCACAAAATGTCTTAAACATAATTTAGGCTGTGCTTGACTTAACCTACTTGTTTATTTCCTACCAAGCATGACCAGGAACTAGCCATTGATATCGAAACATTCATTATTCTTACATTTTCTTTCTTTTCTTCTGTGTCCTTTCTCTCTCTCTCTCTCTCACACACATATACACACACACACACACACACACACACACACACACAGAAGTACTAGTACTGTACCCTGAAATTGTTTCTTTAGTTCTTGTCAAAATTCCTCTGATTTTATTTTTCATGTCCTGAAACACTGTCGAGATTAACATCCTGATCGCCTTCCAGAATATCTGACTTTATTTTTTTTATGTGTTTTTTACTCTTTGGTAGAATTATGGATTCATTAACAGATCCTGCTGTATGCTCTGACAGCTATGACCACAATGGGTGAGTTGACTGATCTAACTGGTGAAAAATACTGGGAGTATCAATGGCAATAACAGCTTTCTATAAGAGACTTTAAGCATCGTTAGGTAACATTGTTTTTGAACTAGAGTGGAAAAAATAAGATCAGGTCAGAAGAGGCACACTTGGTACTCAAAGATTGTTTATGACCCTTAGTAATTAGCAGCCAAAACCCTTAGGAAACTATCAGAATGCCCATATATGAGACTCTCTCAAGAGCAATCTAAGAGAGGAGAGAATCCTACTTGGAGAAAGAAGGTGGTAGCATCGGACAGGCAGCAGAGGAGCCCTCGGCAGAAAGAAAGGAGCTAAGAGACCCTGTATCTGTCCCTCACCCTTCAGAGCTGGTACCCCAAACTCAAAGCCATCATCACATTGCATGGAGCCCCTGCCTCAGGTTTAGTCACTTGATCCTATTTGAGGGGAAGCAAAGATATCTGTGACTCATGAAGAGCATGAAGGTGGTGGAAGGACTTGATAATTAGGAAATCAAAATGGGCAAGAACAACGTGTACCTACAAATGGAACATGAATTTGAAGCAAATTTAAGTTAAATTTGCTGTCACACACGATGACCAGATTCAGTAAGAAAGAATTGTATTTAAATCTTGTTTCATTAAACTTTTTTAAGAGTCCTAAACAATTTTTATTACCAAGACATAAAGACCTTTTTCTAGAGAAAAATGAAGTACCAGGTGCCAAGTAACAGATTTACATGATAATTTTTAGGGACAATACATTGTGATTTGTAGCGCAATCATAGCCGATTTGAACCAAAAAAAAGTAGTGTATGCATTTACGTTGTTTCTTACTACTTACCTTTCAATCCTTTGCACTGATCCCAATGAATTGACATCAGAAAACTGTGCTGGAGTCAACAATGAAAGGTGATGTCATAATATATATTGGAGATGGGAGGAATTCAGGTTTGTGAAATTCAGTCTCAGAATTATTCATGGGAAAATAGTTTTCTGGACACTGATTCTAAAATGCTTTCTAAAAAGTTAGGTCTTAAGTAAGCTAACAAATGTTAAATATAGAGTTTCTTGGACACTGTTTCTAAAGTACTGGTAGTTTCAACTTCTGTATGTAACATGCTTTTCTTTTTGGGTCTAGTTGGATGCAAGATAAATAGATCACAGGAAGTCTACTTCTTCCTAGCTGAGTTGACTAGTAGCCAAAACTTTTAGAAACCTGTTGGGTTGCCTATGTATGAGACTCTGCCAGGTTGGGCTATATTAGTTTCTAAGGCTGCTTTAACAAAGTATCACGAACCAAGTGTCTTAAACAAAAATTAATCATCTCATAGTCCTAGAGACTAGAAATCTGAAACTGAGGTTGTTAGTAGGGTTGGCTTTTTATGAGGGCTATAAAGAAGAATCTGTTTGATACCTCTTTGCTAGCTTTTGCTGGTTGTTGGCAGTCTTTGGCATTCCTTGGCAGGTAGACTCATGTCTAGAGTAACTGCAGCTATTTGACCAAAAGTGTAAGTCCAAATTATGTTTGTATCTGAATAATATGCTTTTATAATTCCTCAGCCCACAGCCAATTGAGTTGATGGTAGTAACCTATGATAGAGCCACCCATGATATGTGAGTTAAAAACAAAGATTTATATACATAGAAGTGTATATATACATATATACACATAAATACATACTTCTATCAACATACACGCATGCATACACATATACACACAGAAACATAAAACAATGAAAGAGAAGTTGATATTTGTAAAATTCACTGTCAGGCATGTCCTTGGAAATACAGAGTATCTTTGACACTATGTCGAAATCTTCTCACTGTAGGGTCTATAGATAACTTTCTATTTTTTTTTCAGACCAAATTGGATGAAAGAGGAAGAAGTCATGAAAGGGTTGCTTCTTCCTCTTAGTATATTTGTCACTCTAAGTTATTAGTATTCAATCCCTTAGGAACCTTTGAAGTTTCCCATTTATGAGACTCTACTACTACTAGAGTGGGCCAAAGGGAGAGAGAATCCTATTTGGAGCAATGGGGAGGTACCAGGTGACAGGGAGGAGTGAAGCACTCATCAAAAAGAAGAGAGTTCATGAAACCTTAATGGGTTCCTCACCCTTTAGAGTTCTACCACCATGTGAGGCTGGTGCCCCAAACCAAACCCAAACCCACAGTATTTTGTAGGGAGTTCCTGACTCAGACCTACAGCTACATGGTCATATTTTCTGGGCAGGAAAGACAGCCATGATGGGTGAAAGTAAGGAAGTGACAGGGACTTAGGAATCAAAAATTTAGATGGGGTAAGAGGCATGTTTCCTTACAGACTACAGTTACATTAGAAATAAATGCCACTGGCCAGGCATGGTGGCTCATATCTGTAATCCCAGCGCTTTGGTAGGCCAAGACAGCTAGATCACTTGAGGCCAGGAATTTGAGACCAGCCTGACCAACGTGGCAAAACCCTGTGTCTACTAAAAATACAAAAA